AATTTCACATAAAAAATAATTGAATATCAATTCAATAAAAATTTAAATACAGTGAATAGCGACATCTCTAGCCGGAGCTGGTAGCTGTAAAGGTATCTAACTGGTTGACGAAATACTTTCATAGTTTTCTCTTAGATGGCGCTGCGGCTAAAAAATCGTTCAAAAACCAAACACAAAGACACGATTTTCTCTTGTCAACAGCATATCAGAGCTACCAACAGCCAACGTGGAAACCCTGGCCCGCTATCTGCCAGTTTTGGCTGACAAGCTGCTGTACCTGCTGGTGGCGCCACCTACGCTCGCTGGACAGACACTCAACATCTCTCAAGACGTGTTCACGTGTCTGGCTCATCTCTTTACTGAGATCACTGTGAGTAAACTATGATGATATCGCACCCCAATATTAAAGTGGCGTAATTCGAGTTTAAAAAATGTCATACATGACACAGGCCATATAATCATGCAATGCACGGCATTTTGCTTTGGGGTAATGCCGCCGATATCAATAGAATCTTTGTCCTGCAGAAACGTGCAGTTAGGGCAATTTACAATCTGGGCCCCAAAGTATCTTTGAGAGATAAGTTTAAGGAAATTAACATTCTTACACTAGCCTCACAGTACATTTATGAAAATGTAATTTATGTTAAAAGGAATAGTAATTTATTTATGAAAAATAGTGACAGACATAACATTAATACGAGGAATAGAAATAAACTAGCTTTTCTTGATAGTCGTCTTCACAAAGTCAAAAAATCATTTAAGCGGCAATGTATGCGCTTCTATAACAAGATTCCGGTTGATATACAAAATTTGCCTTTCACGAGGTTTAAAACTATAGTGAAACAAAAACTTTATACTAAAGGTTATTATACAACTTCTGCGTACTTGGATGACAAAAATCCGTGGTAGTAACCCGTTTAGCTCATGGAGGTAGTCTGATGTTTCAAATAAAATATAAAAAATATTGTAAATGCTATTTACAAAGAGCAACCCCTAGAGTTTCTTGCTCATTCTTCTCAGGGGAATCTGCCTTACGAATGAGCGGTAGAGTTTAACCATTGTGACGATTTCAAGTGTAATAATGCTTACCTATGAAATAAAGATTATTTTGAGTTTGATTTTGAGTTTGCAATTTTAAGAAGCAGTAGAGCTCCTTGTGAAAGAGTTCGTCCAGGATAGTACTGTCACCTTACCTATTTCTGACGCCAAGCAGTAATGTCAGCATTACAGTGTTCCGGTTTTAAAGGGTAAGGGTGCTGGTGAAATTACAGGCACATGGGACTTGTCAACTTACGTTTGAGGGTGACGGGTGCAGTGGCAGTGCCTCCCAGATCTTTGCAATTTAAAGCTCTGAGTGGCACTGCAACTGTTATGGACAGGCGTGTAGCTTACCATCAGGCGCACGACTTGTTCGTCCAGTCACTTGATATTATATAAAACAGACATGATGTAAGAAAAAGAAAATTATTTAAATGATTGACATTATTTTTTTATTCAATGTAGAATACTGTGTTATTGTTTCACTAGAGAACTATACTATTGTACGATCAACAAATTCTATACAATGATCCATTTAGAAGTGATTATTATATAATATACATTATGGTATTGAACCACTGTGATCCACCATGCGACATACAAAGCTTTTTTGTAGACACTCATAAAATGTCAATTTTATAAAAATAATCTCCAATGTTGAACAATGTCATATGGTTGAAATTATATTTTAATAATGACGTCTTAAATCCTACATCATTAATGCGACTTCCTTATTCCACTTGAAAGTTTATTGTAGGCCTTCGAAGCCATTACAATTACTAATTAATCGAAATAAATAATACAATAAAATATTTGCACATTATAGTTATTAAAAATATTGCAACAAATGTTTTTCTATTCTATACTAAAAACTTAATAACTTATTCTGCCCCTGTTAGTTGAAAGGGCGCATGTGATAAAAACTCAAAACCGAGAAAATAATGTTTAAAAATTTCATTGTAAAATATCTACTTTTCTCTTGCGGTAACATCATACACTATCCATTTACGAATAAATAAATATGGTGACAGATCATAATTTTTATACTTATGACGGCGGTATACATAACAAAATTTAAAAAAAATGTTACATGCGCCCTTTCAACTAACCGCAACTGTATTATAAATATCGGTACACTTGCAGAACTTGAACGAAGGTGCAACCTGTGACCCTCACGGCCGTAGCAGCCTCATCTCTACCTACATCCAATACCAGTGCACAATCCCGCGGCCATCGCTCACCGATCGCGACATTGGACTGCCTTTGCCTCCAGCTGGTACGTTACTTCAGTTAAAGCCAGAGTCCAGTTAAGGCCAGAGGACTGTGGCCCAAACTTTCACTTTACAGAAGATCTGTGCCCGACAATGATACGTGGTTGACGATAACGATATTATTGTTAATACAAAGAACGTACACTAAGAAAAATTCCATCGATCCGACCGGATTCGAACTTGCCGCCTACGGCAAATCCAAGCCACGGAACGAATCAGCAGACCTTACAAATTTTTCTATGTGCTTGTTGCTGATCTTAGTATTTGATTTTTAACGATTTTTTTGCCATAGCGCCATCCTTGAGAAATCTATTAAACCAGTGGCTAATTAGAGAATTCTTTAAATAACATGATGTTTTACTACCATATTTTTTAATTATACGATTACGATGTTGTTACTGCAGTAATGAGCGACGGCTCCTGCAAGATCCTGCATGAAGAACTTGCCCTGCAGTGGGTTGTGGCCAGTGGAGCGACCAGAGACCTCGCGATGCAGAACTCATGGTAAGGCCTAGCTGCTTCTTCTGCTTATCGTTTCGATGGCATACACTGGCATACAATGCTTACCATCAAGGTGAAAGGGTTTGCCAATCGGCGTAAGGTAGTCGTTGATTATTGCCTATGGTGTCGCCACGCCTAAGGTTCTATCACAATTTAAATTACATAATGCGACTATCTTTTCTATCTATCTCACACGTACATAAGCCCACACTCATCTAATGCACACACACTTTACACGCACTCACACACACATCACACGCACTCTCACATATCTTTTTTTTTCTTCTCTTTTTTTATTATATAACTTGTTTCCATAGACTTATTGATTTATTGATCAGGAATTCGGGAGGTGGAGGCCTGGTGACCTAAAACACAGGGTATCCTAGTTTAGGCTCCAGCCTCTACAAATTTTCCTATGTACACTACTATTATTTCATTTAAATTGTTACAAATTTGTGGAGGAAATAAAGAATTTACTTACTTACTTATCACGACAGCCTTTAATAGATTATTTTCGCGTATACTTCTTCTAACTTAAATGTACTTCATACTTCTAGTATCATTGTCTTAATAGGTCCTTGATCTCATATTGATCCTTTGGATCTGAACTAGTGGGATCCTGTGATCCTTATGATGGGCCTCCACACACATACCACCAGCCCTTCTTTTGCCACTGCTTCATGCCTTATACCTTCAGTACAAGTGGCTTCATTCTAAATCAGTTACTGCTTCGTCACACTCTATCTTCAGGCTGTCTAGATAACAAATACTGTCTCTAAATTAGTAACAAACATTGTGCAGACTTACCAACTGTAGTGCACTCTCAGCGGACGCCTGAAATCTCACCTTCAGAATTGATGACGAGTTCCCTACTCTTAGGTGTCATAACAGACTAAATTTGTTAGTGCACCAGACGAATGGTACTTCATGCGGGGAGGCTCCATTCGTGCACTCTAGCCTAGCTATTAAATTTACGTTTTTCTTTTCTAGGGTTTCGGTAATTTTGTAGCATGAATGCGTCCCCATTTTCATGACATTTTCAATCGACGGTTTTGTTTGTTTTTTTGTGATGGTTGACTGACAAAAAACGTTAAAAAACGAAAAGTCGCAAAAAATTATATTAAAAAATTAATTTCATATTATCGGTATGTATTTTATTTTTAATGGTTTAAGTTTCAGTCGTGTTTGTGTCGGGGGGCATCCACCTTCGATCGCTGCAGCGTTGTTTTGCATGCGCAACCCGACAAATGTTCACCATTTTTAACCGACTTTAAAAAAAGGGGGAGGTTCTTAATCCGACAGTGAACTCAACTCGTAAACCGATAATTTGTGAACCGATTTTGAAGGTTCTCTTTTGTTGGAAAGCGGGAACCTCAATAGTGGTTTCACTTAAATTTGAAAAAATATTTCACCTCTAAGGGTGCGAACTAGATTGACATGACTTTTGAGGTCGGTTGTTTTTAGTACTCCGTACTAAGATTATGGATCTCAATGTTTATAGTATAAAGGCTATTAACTAAAATGACGGAATGGAAGAGAGTTTTGGAGAGATGTATGAATGAATTAGTAAGAAGATAATTTTAAGTTTATTTTATTGTTCTATTTCTTTTTGTTTTGTGTATTTGTTTTTTCTTTTTAAATTGTTATTAACTGAATTGTCGTAACGCCATGGTGCAAACTGTTATGTTACACATTTTGTCTATTAGTAATAAATAATAAAATAATAAATAATAAAAGTAAACAAAGTTCAACTGTCGCTCGGTTAACCGGTCAAATACAATATTTAGTGGTGAGCTTTATGCGTCGTATTACAGGTGTACTTTTTAATTTGGTCGCATGTTATTAGCTGTCATCTTTTTAAGGACTGATTGAAAAAGAAGAAAATTTTATGTTGTTTGTTGCAGGAAAGTTGTGATACGTGTTATTTTAATATATTTATATTGTATATTTAGTACTATTTTAAATAGGTAGTTCGAAATGTTGTCTGAAAAAATATTATCATATATTTACCATTTTCAAAAAGTTTATTATAATTTTACAATAAGTAATTAGTTAATGCCTGATTAATACTTCGTTACGGTTTGTTTAAGTACGTAAACCATGTAGTTATAGTCACTTATAAAATACCCAACTCTGTTTGGGCCGGACTAAGATCTAAAACTGAATATTTATTCGGACAGGGCACTATTCGAGCTAATGAACAAGTCAATGGTGGAGTATCTCTACTGGAGCGGTGCCTACGAAGCCACCCGGAAATCACGCTTCCCCGAGCAGTTCACTGACGACATCACCACGCTTGTCAACACTGTTACTTCGGAGATTATTTCCAGGTATGTCACCAGCTGTAACACTAAAAACCTCTTTTTAATTTGTAGTGCCTTTTTTTAATTTGTCCTTTGTATCAAGAACTTTTAAAAACCATGCAATTCTTTTTACGCCCAAAAACTGACTGGATAAAATTCGTATTACGACGTGCACATTTTTCGCCGACTTTTCACTGGTTATTTTGATTATGACTGGGACTTGACTAGCTCGTGGTTTTTACTGTAACGTTCAAAAACATGGATGAATTATTTACCGGTAAGTTACGGTGTTATATTTGTCACTTAGTTTTTGAGAAAAATAATAGATACATATTATTCATGTACGAAAATAAATAAAGACACTATATAATAAAATCAATACACTATATTAAAATTTTTGTAAATAAGAGAAAAGCGTAAATTAAGTTTCCTAAACTGCGTGGAAATAGGAGTTCATATTAGGCCCCTAGGTCTAAGATATAAAAAAAACGGCGTCCACTGCTGAACATAGGCCTCCTCCAAAGATTTCCAGACTAGCCGGACAGACACGGTCCATCCACCATCGGTTACCCGCCTACCTTACCAGGTCATCCATCCGTAAGGGGCTGTCCCACTGGTAACCTTCCGGTTCGTGGTCACCATTCGAGAACCTTTCTGAACCAACGGCCGTCAGTTCTGCGAGCTAAGTGCCCTGCTCACTGCCACTTGAACTTGCTAGTCCTTTGGGCTATGTCGGTTTGATTTTCGTTCTTCTACGGATCTAAACATTTCTGATTCGATCACGTAGAGAAATGGCGAACATTGCTCGTTCCATAGCTCGTTGAATGACTTTGAGTTTTTATATGAGGCCCATAGTAAGTAACCACGTCTCAGAGCCGTAGATCTTCGCTGGCAACACGCACTGCTCGAAAAACTTTGTCTTTAAGGACTGCGAGGATTATTGCAGGCAACAAGACGTCCTGGAGCTTCCCGAAAGCTGCCCAACCGACTCGGGTGCGACGAATAACCTCTTTCTCAAAGTTGGCTGTGCCTAATTGGACGGTTTGTTCGAGGTAGATATACTCGTCAACCACTTTGAGAGTAGAGGTTCCCGCTGTTATAGGGTTGGGTACGACATGGACATTCAACGTAAGTTTCGTCATGTCCATTTTTAGACCCACCTGCTGGGAAATTTTATTGAGGTCACCGAGCAGGCATCTAAACAACATAGAACTAATGTGAGCAAAAGCGACCTTACCGCTAAGTGCGATTTCTTCCACATCTTTGGAGCAAGGGAAAACTAAACTGAGTGAGAGACGTAGTGTGCCAATGGTAAAATTGTAACTGCAGAAATAAAAACTTACATTACTTACTAATGGCTTTGCTCGGCATCAACCTTGTAGACCGAGTTCCGAACGTTGAGATCCAACGACAAACGAACGTCCAAGATGCTGGAACGCGGACCATGAAACTCAAAAGGGCGTTGGGCGGGGCACCTAGCGAGGCAAGGTAATGACAGGTTGAGCAAGACGTCGACTGATTGGTGGCCGAGGATGGGCTAAAGAAGCGTCGGGCCCTGTTGCGAGGTGGGTCGACGACATAGTACGCGTTGCGGGGCGTCAATGGATGCGGCTAGCACAGGGCCGTGGTGGATGTCACGAACTTCGGGAGGCCTATACCCAGCAGTGGGTGAAATCAGGCTGTGCATGATGATGATGACTTACACACATCAAAAGTGTCTAGGGATCAAGTGAATATTTTTGAAATAAAAATTATTTAAGCAATATTTACCAAATCCAGTCTTCCAGGACGACTTCTTACTTTAATGCTTATGTTTTATTTAACCGCTTACCCCTATATAAATAAACTAAAATTGATGTTTTTGCAAATTGTGGGAAAAAACTCAAATTAACGGCGTCAATTAAATGACAAAAAAATGGCGAAAATGATGATTTTGCTCATTTTTATTGTAAAGATAAGAAAGTTAATAATCTGTATTTCCACCATTAACACGAATCACACAATTACAGCGATTTGGCATGCTTAATATGAGTTCATCAAAATCACTTTGAGGAATGGCCGCCCATGTGTTTTGTAACAAGTCAAAATATTGTTGTAGAGTATGTACGGTATGCATACTCGGCACAGCTCTTCTTTGAAGCATATCCCATGCGTGCTCAATTGGATTGAGGTCTGGCGATTGAGCAGGCCACGGCAGAACGTTGATACGAGCTTCGGCAAGAATGCGTGTTACGACTCTAGCCGTGTGTGGACATGCGTTGTCATGCATTAGTTGAAATGAATCACCCAACTGGCCTCGCAAAGGGATGATAACATTTGAAACAATCCTCTCTGCGTAAACTTGAGCATTGAGGTTACCCCTGATCCAAATGAGATCGGTTCACCGCCGATCCAAATACCGGCCCATTCATTATTGTTCCCCCACCATATGGATGAACTTCCTGACAATATCTCAAACGTTCATGACGTCCAGATGTTCTCCAAACTCGAGTACGTCTTGTATCCGGTCTCATACCGAAGCGGGATTCATCCGAAAAGCACACATAGCGCCAGTCTTCTTCCTCCCAGTTTCTGTGTTCGCGAGCCCATCGTAAACGGGTCCTGCGATTGCAGGGTGCAATAGGTGGAACTCTGAGCGGCCTTCGGGATCGCAGACCCACTTCACGTAAACGATTTCGGATTGTTTGATCGCTTATTAGCAAGCCTGAGGAGCTGCGGAGCCTCGTAACCAACATCATGGCGGTCATGGTACGATTCCGTCGAGCAGTATTTTGGATATACCGGTCCTGTCTGCGAGTCGTGATACGAGATCGTCCTCCATGTCGCTCGGCTACGCTGCCCGTCATGCGATAGCGCGTCCAGAGGCGACTTATGACGCTCTGTGTAGTGTTAAGAGTAAAAGCCACAGCACGTTGCCTGGAACCAGCTTCCTACATTCCGACGGCTCGCATCATCACTTCTCGGGTTAAACGATGTCGTCTCTCCATAATAATGTAAATTGTTTCGGTTCCGATGCAGATATTGTAATGATTTTGTCAAAACGCTATAACTCATTTTTATACAAAACCACATTGACAATCGATTTTCTTCTTATTATCGAATTTTAAACAATAGTCCTTATTTAAATGTTAAAACTCACTAAAAAGTATCAATAGCGATACAAAAAAGTTAATATAATTAATCCTAATTGCAGCAATACTCTTAAACGTACTTGATCCCTAGACACTTTGGATGTGTGTATATTATTGTCAAATAATATACTCATTGTTAGTGTTAAAATATCGAAAGACCAATTTTCACTTTGAGCACTTGTTAGTTAATTGATGCAATAAAGACATTTTGATAATACATTTACATTTGTAAAAATTACCCTTTACTTGCTAACTGTACCATTTATTCAAAATCTGTAAATGCCAATAAAAGTACCTTGAATTTAGGACCAGTCTTCAAGAACCGTTTTCCTGTAGCTGTAACTATTAAGTATATTTTGGTAGTCCTATTTCCCGGTTGAAAATTTTACAATTTGTATAGTTAAATTGATTTAACTTTGTTTCTCTCTCGCCAGATACGGCAAAGAAAGTCGCCTTACCCAAAGCCTGAACAACAGCTTGGCGTTCTTCCTCTTCGACCTACTAAGCATCATGGACCGCGGCTACGTATTCAACCTCATCCGAAGCTATTACAAGCAGATGTGTGCCAAAATTGCTTCGCTGCCTCAGGCCGTTCCACTCGTTCACTACAAGGTATTTTATTTGAAAGAATTTGACACTTTGACACTTGATTTTCACACCATATCAAAGAAATGTAACCATTTGAATGTGGAAGACTTGTGTTCAAACTAGGTAAAACCTGTGTTTTGAGACACCAGGTCTCCCGTTGCGAAAAAATCATTACAATGTTACAATGAAAACGACAAAAAAATCTGTGGCGAAATTATAACTGCTACATAATGTAACATGTAATATACGAGGCTAACATCTGAAGCCATTACAATACAATTTTTTTTTAATCGTATTTATTCAAAAACAAGTTACAAAAATATTCATTATTGTACAATGCAATTGTAATTAAAATATCCGCTTAAAACAAAGTATTTATCAACAATCTTTATTTATTTAGGAACTTTGATCATTATTGCACAAGTTACGAAAGCCACAGCCGAAGGACTTAAAAAAAATGTTTTACTAATTTTATTAAGTCAAATGGTTGACAAAAATAAAGAAATATAACTCTGAAAACTAAAACGAGATGCGACAATGTTCGATGTTGGAATCAAAGTGTCTCATTCCTACGGAGTCGCGCTCTGCTGGTCTCACCATCGCACGTTACGCTGACCATGCTTCGAAGTAATGTTGCAATCGCTTTGAGTCATTATGCTTCAGTCCAATTACGGGTGGCGCGTTACGTAACTCACATGTCAGCCCTGTTAGAAAAACAAACATCCAGAAAAACACTTGAAGGCACTCGTGCTGCTATCAAAGTGGTTTTCCATTTTTTATTTTTCGCTAGGCGTGTTTTGTTGACCGAGTAGATGATATCTCCTTAAAAAAACGGGTTATCGTAATTACTTCTCTTATTATTCTTAATTTTAGAATCACTAACTGAAGGAGACAATAAAGGATAGCTATAATTAATTAAGATTCAAAAATATCGTCCACCAAACACGTGGGTGCGTGCGCACGTCACACGACCCAAGGATGACAGTCAGTGCTTGATGTTTGTTCTACTATTGATTCTAGGTAGCGCTAGAATCGTTTTAATGACGACTGTCGATTAGACGTGACGCCACTAATCTCTTATTTTGCGCATGCGCCGACACACAATCCAAACAGATAAATTCAAAATACTACCTAACCAAGTACGTATGCAACATCATCGTGGCACTATTTACTGGCTTAGACAAAACGGACTGAAACCACCCTACATTAAATGTACCAAAAACAAACCTGTTCAAATAACTGCACCCTGAATTTCTAACCTCTAAAGTAGGTAATGAAGCTGTGTCTCCAAACATGGCATAAAAAAGTTATTTCAATTCAAATTTTAACACTTTATTAGCTATTTACTTAACGATTAACTAGTAGTTATCGTTTAAGATTTTTCTTTAGATTTTTTTCTTACAACAACAATGCGGTTGGGTGTATTCAGGCAATTAGCTATCCCTTGGACATCTACACCACTTTGTACAAGACTGGCTCAATAAAACAACGCGTGCGATACGTCCGTTCACACCAATATCTAAAAAAGTCGTAAAGGCGGGAACCGGCGGGCCGCAGCGCACCTTTGTTGTATATACACTACAATCTCCCTCCAGTAAATATTCCCTCAAGTATTCCCTTCTCGAGTCCGCAAACCACGTGAAATTTGGACTGAAAGAACTGCACAGGTCCAAGGTTCGATTTCCGGGCCGGGAGAAATATTTGTATGGCCTACATTTATTTCTCTCGTAAGTTTGGCTGTAATTTGTGGTTGTCTATGTGTGTCCATGGCACCCGCGTGACGGGGTTTCCCTAGTGCGGGGCTATGTTGAGTGTGTGCGTTATTATTAAAAATAAAAAACTAATGAAATTTCGGCCAGATCGCGTTCCTCCGCATAATCTGTTCCCACGAGCACTACGTGGCGTTGAACCTGCCCGCGGGAGGCCCCTCCGGCGGTGCCGTGTCCCCCGCGCCGTCCGCGCACTCCGTGGCCTCCCACTCAAGCGCCTCGCCGCCGCACCAGCTGGGCCACGAGTTCCGCGCCAGGCACTACCTGGCCGGGCTGCTCTTGACTGAATTGACTAACGCGTTGGAATTGCAGTAAGTACACTAATATTTTAGATTTCCGTTAATTATTCATGTGCCACTGTGGTCCAATTTAAATGGAACCACTATTGAGGTACCCTCTTTCCAACAAAAAAAAGAATCATCGAAATCGCTTCACAAATGGCGGAGTTATCGTATAATGTACATACAAAAAAGCGTACTGTCGAATTGAGTACCTCGTCCTTTTTTTGTAATTGGTTAAAAATTTAGGCGAATCCAAAAATATTTGTGCATGTTTTTGGTTACTGGACAAGGAGAAGGAGATTGATTATGCAACTAATGTGAACTCAGTTTTCAATTCACAAAAAAAAACTACATTATGCATAAAAATATTTTTGTAATGACGTCAAAAATTTACAATAATTTACCGAAATTGTTAAGATTTGAGAAAAAACCTTATACTATTTAAAAAGAAATCAAAAAATGGTTGACTATTGTACATATACAACGTCTCCGAATTTTTAAATGACAAATCCAAATGTACAAATGTCAAAAATTAGACAAAGTCCTGTCTTGTCTAATTTTTGACATTTGTACATTTACAGTGACGTTATTTTGAACAACTGTACTGTTATTAACATTGACTTACGAATAAATGGACGACGGGTCTAATACAAAAACCACGAAAAAAATGTCCCAAGTCAACCTATTCGAAATTTAAATTGTTATGTCATCGCAGTATCGCGCTGTCCGTAGAACAAATGAAGACTAAAGCGGAGTGTCGCGCTCTGTATACGATTTTAGCGCCTTACAAGTGCAGACACTTTTTAGCGCGGACCCGACGTCCATATGATTGTAAGTCAATGGTTATTAATAACATTTTGTCATCTAATTTACACTTTATCCAAATAACGATCACCGCGTTCAAATTACTGACTGACTTAATGAACCCATGTGCATAAAACATGTTACGGTTTTGCCTTTAGTGTATGTTAGTAAATGTATTATATATAACACACATTCAACGTGTTTGTATGCCTAATATTTGGCCAGACACAGTGAAACTATACTTATTTTGTACATGTCAACGTCTTTACAAGACATGTTTCCACAAATAAGTTAATTATTGATTGTTTTCATTAACTATAAAAAAATCTTCGACTTTTTTTACGTTGTTCGGCTTTGTGTCTTTCTAAGTTATCTATTATTTTACATGACAGTACATTCATATTCTCGCAGAAGCCCAGTCCTTCAATGCGCAGCAGTGAACGCAGTGCTGTCTTTACTTACGGCTCACGACGCAGACCCGCGACTGGCCAACCCCGACGTCAAAGCGCGAGTGGCCGCCTTATACCTGCCCTTGCTTGGCATTGTCATGGATGCGCAGCCGCAGCTGTATCGGGGATTTGTCAGCAGCCGAGGTAATAGACTTGAATTTTAATTATTTGTGCATGCAAAACAACCAGACACTAATATTCGGTGTATTATTTAGCGGCATAACATTTTTATAAAATAAATTTAATGTTGGGAATCTTCTAGGTGTGATCAGCGTAAGACCGAACGTTGTGGCGATCTTTAGGGTAGGCCTATGTCTAACAATGGACGTCTATTGGGTGAAGTGATGATGATGTAATATGGTCCTGCGAAGTTATTAGTGTATTAAAATTATCCCTGTGTACTCTTTTTTGTTTTTCTAGAAATTCCGCCACTGGATAGCGAAATTAGTCAACTAGGAAACTTGTACACTACAGCATCGCCCGAAGGGGATTATAAACAGGTAAGTTACATTTCCTACATTAATTAAAGATAAATACTCTTATAGCAATAAATATATAGTCCATACGAGAGAGATCTTCCACTGATGTACTGTCATAATATTTCTGCCGCCAAACAGTAATGTGAGCATTACTGCGTTCCGATTTTGAAGGGTAAAGGTGCTGGCAGAGACATGCAAGCACCCGGGTTTTAACCCGGCGCTTTATTGACGCCGGGTGTAATACGAGTTGAAATCCATTACCTCCTGAAATCGAAAGAAAAAACTATTTACAAGTAGGTCTCAATTTATATTGCGCCTTAAAATAGATCGAGCAAAAATCTTCCGAAGAATGCGCGAGCACTCTCGAGCATGAGCATCTAGTTTGTACGTTACAATTGACCATAAAGTTCATTATGCTATGTACAATAATCGTTACAAAAATTCACTTCCATTCCGTTCCGCCACAGCATAAGTTGAGCCTAATTACTTGTTGTAAATCGAGTTCTGTTAATATTTAATGATGTTACAAAATGTTTATTGCTTTCTGATCTTGACAACTCCGATTTGCCTGATTCGTTTGAAAATCACACTGAAAGAATCGATACCAAAAATCGTTAATCGTATGCACTTGAATCGATTTTCATACAAATCGATTCGTAATGTGCATCCTTAGTAGTGATAATTTACATGATTGTATGGTGGGAATTGCCTCTGGAGGTGGAGTTGCCTATTTTTCATTTAAAAAAATTTGGGGAATTTCTCCCACAAAATATTTCTTGCATCGAAACTTGTAATAAATATGGAATTATACCAAATTTCGTATTCCCCATGATTTTGGGCAGAAATGGGTTATAGTTTAAAATGCGGGCGGGTTGATTGGGTTTTTACCCACTGCCCGTATCTGGGAGCTGGTGAAATTACAGGTACTTGGGACTTGTCATCTTTATGTCACACGGTGACGAGCGCAATGGTAGTGCCTCTCAGATCTTTGTGATTTAAAGCACTGAGTGGCACTGCAACCGTTTAAGGACAGGCGTGTCGCTTACCACCAGGCGCACGACATGTTCATCCCGTCACTTGATATGATAAAAAATAAGACCTAAGCTTACATAGCGCATTGACTTGATTTGTTCATCCTGTTAAGTTGTCAAAATTGAGATAGTACCGATTGCCAGTCACAGTCGATATATGTGCCTGGTCGTGCGCGTATGTGTGAATAAAAGTGAATGTGTGTATATTTGTTAAATGTGTATATTTATCTCTACATTTGATTGAATATCTGAAATCTGGCACCGTTGCTAAGTTTTGTCAGTGACTAACTCTTGAAACGCGGCCTGCAGAGCGGCCGGCCCCAGTTCAACAGCGAGACGAGCCGCAACCTGCTGATGTGCCTGGTGTGGGTGCTGAAGTGGGCAGGCCGCGCGGCGCTGGCCGCCTGCGTCTCGGACCTGCCAGCGCCGAGGCTGCAGACCCTGCTGGCCCTCATTGACGTCGCCTTCAAGTGCCAGGAGTACAAGGTATGGCCGTCGCAACTCATTTGTACATTTTATTCTGAACAATAACACCAAAGTAATAATTATCTGTGCTAAGGATGACGGAAAAATAGTATTTTAGATTAGTAACACGTTCGGGGTTACTATTTCTATCTTCCTTTTAGTTACAAAAAAATTCGTCCTTTTCGAAAAATGGTGTATCAAATTCAAATTTTAAAAACTGCCTCAGTAGCCGAACGGTTACCATGCCGAACGTGACGGACCGCCATGCAGAGCTACTCGGATTCGATTCCCAGACCGGGAGAAATATGTGTAGGGCCTAGATTTATTTCTCTCGTGAGTTGGGTGTAATTTGTGGTTGTCTATGTGTCCATGGCAGGGTTTCCGTAGTGCGGGGCTATGTTGAGTGTGTGCGTTATTATTATTATTTATTCGCCAAGGCATTGACTAGGTAGTACGCAAGTCAATTTACGAGAAATTCAAACTTACATAACTCATGGCTTTGGATCACCACTGAAGTAAGCAGATACTATTGAATTTACAAGTTACAGGTTTTGTTACCACGGTACTGTTTCGTTTTGTATTCCGGATTCGAAACGGTTACACGTTCTATGGTCACGGATTTACGGGCCAGCGGCAGATAACAGCTTTGAGACTCTCTTCTCTCTGTCTACTCTCTTTCGCTATAGACGACTATTATACCTTCATCTCGATTACTTGTGAAGTTACCATTATCTCCTACTTTTTTCCGACAAGTCACATTCGCTGTATTCACACGCAAAATAAAAATGCTTCGACATACCGGTAAAATAAAGAGAACTCATGCCATGGTAAGAGATTTTTATAGCAGTAGAGCTCCTTGTGAAAGAGTTCGTCCAGGGAAATACTGCCACCTTACTTATTTCTGCCGCCAAGCAGTAATGTGAGCATTACTGTTATGAGCAGGCCTGTCGTTATATAAAATAGTCATTATCGACCCCTCCCACGTAAAGTATCGTATGTAGAAATTGCCAAGTTTACAGTGGAGCCTTTTAAAGTTCTGAATTCACTGAAATAAGCATAATACGTGACTTTAGCGTTTCTCAGTTATATTCGGCAAAGGTCGTTACTCACATAGAGTATTATAAAATTCTAGATATCGGTAAGATGATCTATTAGATGATCACTCTATGTGAGCAACGAGCTTTGCCGAATGAAACGGAAAACTTTATAACACTTCCTTGTAAACTTGGCAATTTCGACATACGATACTTTACGTAGGAGGAGTCGTTATATTTTTTTTTTTTCGATTTATGCCTACTAAATGATACCACCTATTATAATAATGTTTTAATAAATGTACAGGGCCGCAAAGAAATAATGAAATGCACACAACAGAACGTGCGCAAGACAACAGACATAAAAGCGAAACTTGAAGACGTTATTCTGGGACAGGGATCTGCTCGATCCGACCTCATCATGCGACGAAAAGGTATATTGATTCACTAACTCAGTATGTGCAACATTGTTAACGTCATTTTAACAAGTTTTAGGAGGAGTTTAAAGCTTTAATTCGTTGCTGAAATTGAAGTAATGTGAAATAAAAAATCGGTAAAATAACACAAGGAAAAACTTTTGTTAGATGATTAAACCAAGTCATAACAGTCATGTTAAGGTCATTAATAACACAGATATCGAAAAAATAAACTAACAACCTTGAAGATTAAATAAAAGTATACTGATAAAAGTTAATACGTTCCTAATGCTCCTCAATCTTTTTTGATAGTATTTATTGCTTATTAAAAAATACACCGATTACTCTGCTTGGTTAAAATTATTCAAACATAACAGTATTTACGACAATCGTACGCGTTGCAAACGGTGGCACTAAATTATAAGAATTGTAAAAATCTGCTTAATGTCTTTTTTTTCCTGGAGAAATCCTCCTAAGATATCCCCCCTAAGTTGCCCCCGCAACGGAGAGGTTAATACAAAGAATTGAACCAGCGCCTTCAGCATACCATGCATGACACTCTCCCAACTGAGCTACGGAACGAACCGGGAATGAGCAATCTGTGAAAGTTAAGAAAGCGCTGCGGCAAAAAAGTCGTTAAAAACCAAAAACAAAGACCTTCGACAAGCACATAGAAAGAATTCGTAACGTCTACTGGTGCATTCCGTTGGAAAAGCGTCAAGCACGGTATGCTTAAGGCGCCAGTTCAAATCCAGCTGGATTTAAAGTGTTCGATATTTGTATTAATAATTATGAAAAACTGAAGTAATTATACAAAAAAAGAATTTAATATCGTGGTCATAATACATCGTAATGTTCAATAAAGTTAATATTACAATCGTTAGTGATGTGTTATTTCGAAATTAAGAAAATATGGCATCATATGAAAATTGGTCCCAATAGACAACACACTCCATGGGTGTGCAAATAGTCGGCTGTGGTCTAGAACTTATTAATGTTTCCAGTGGGACCATCAAACGTAGGCGGAGGCAAGCGCGAGCGCTGGCGCAAGGACTGGGTTCGCGGCGGCGGAGGGAAGGAACTGCCGACCTCACCGGCCCATCCACTGCCTGATCTTTCGGCTACCTTGTCAGCCGAAGTCGCTTTAACCCTTTTACACGCCATCGAAACCATCGTTCAGGTAAATAATGTCACTGGGTAGAATAATACCACCTGGTATAATAATATTACCAGGTACAACAATATCACTTATTACTATAATGAGAATTGATTGCCTAATCATCAGCGACCTTTTCGGCAGAGGTCGCTTTGACGCTGTAACATTACTTTGAGATTGTTCAGGGAAATTCGGACATCAAATAAATAATATTTGAGTAACCGGTAAGGCTTGTAAAAGAGTTGTTTAGAAGGGTGCTGATGACATTACAGGCACATGGGAGTTATCAACTTACGTCTCGGGCTGACGGGTGCTGTGGCAGTGCCCCTCAGTTTATTGCGATTTAAAGCTCTGAGCGGCACTGCAACTGTTATGAATAGGCGTGTCGCTTACCACCAGGCGCACGACTTGTTCGTCCCGGCACTTGAAATCACAAAATAATAATAATAAGTTGGTTATTGCCCATTCAAAAAAAATAAATATGGCATAGTCACACTAAAGGAACAACACACTGACCATTGTACTAGTTTTTGATACCTGGTTGTTAAAGAGCGAAGTGTGATACGCTCCAGAACAATAATTGTAGGGTCGGCGGACTAAAGCGCATAAGTCAAATTCATTTGTTACTTCATAAATTTCGAACTTTGTTCTAGAGGTTATTTAACTTCCAACACTAAAAACAACACAAAAAAATATATAATTATATCACACACACACATACAAATAATTGCATTTTATATCTATAATATTTAGTACATATAAATACAGGCCCAAACGTACACGCACTTACAACAAAACATACTAACAATCGTTTTCCAATGTATTTAAAGCTAATTTAACAACAGTTAATTTTCATTTTGCTTACTTTGTAACAACCTAAGTACACATATCCCTTTGTCTTATACTTATGTAATTGTATGACTACACGTGTCTTCTTATCTTATACCTATCTTTCATGCATCTGCTTAGAGGTGTAAGGGTGAGAGCCTGGTGGTCTATAACACAGGTTAATCCTATTATGGAGACCAGACTTTCACAAACGAAACAGGGTTCGGGAACACGTGAGGACCATAGGCATATAAGTTTTTAATGTGAAGGTAATAAAGACATTTTCATTTCATTTATTTCATATATTAACAATTGAAGCACTTTTTTGCCTTATGTGCTTTAGTCTGCCGACCCTAGAATTATAACTCTGAAAGCTATGTAGCCAAAAGGTTTGGTTTTATCGTTTAATCGCTCTTGTAGGAAGCTTATCCAATTTTTTTAAACTAAATAAAACGATGCCCTACAGCTCTGAGACGTGGTCACTTACTATGAGTCGCATAATAAGCTCAAAGTCGCTCGAGCTATGGACCGAGCAATGTTCGGCATTTCTCTACATGATCGAATCAGAAATGAGGAGATCCGTAGAAGAACGAAAGTTACCGACATACCTCAAAGGATTAGCAAGTTGAAGTGGTTGCGGGCAGGACACGTAGCTCGTAGAACTGACGACCTTTGGGGCAGAAAGGTTCTCGAATGTAGACCACGAACCGGAAAGCGTTCAGAGGGACGGTTACCTACTAGAAGGACGTATGACCCTGGTAAGGGCGGCGGGTAACCGATAGATGCGCGTCGCGTCCGATCGGCTAGTCTGGCAATCTTTGGGCGAAGCCTATATAGAGCAGTGGACGTCTTACGGCTGATATGATGACGATGGCCTATCTCAAAAATATGTTATGCATCAGGAATGTGGTTTCAAATTGGCGCACAAAGTCAACGAATCCTGTACCTCGATGTAGTCGAGTCATTATTGTAAAATGCAGCACATTCTATCATTGACTTACAATAATATGGACGTCGGGTCCGCGCTAAAAAGTGTCCGAACTTATAGGGCGTTAAAATCGTATACAGAGCGTCATTCACGCTTTAATCTTCGTTTGTTCGACTGACAGCGAAGCAAGCAAAATTAGACAGTACTGCGATGACATTACAATTTAAATTCAACGTTTTCGCTTTTTCATATTCCTTTTCATGTCACTACGTTTAAATAGGTTGACTTGGGACATTTTTTTCGTGGTATTTGTATTAGACCCGTCGTCCATTTATTTGTAAGTCATTCGTTGTAGGCATTCTATAGTCTTTTTTGAAGATGGAGTAATATGACATTTGCAGGGTTACCAGTTTTCGTAAAATTGTAAATAGTTAGGTAGTTGTTGTCGACAATTTTATCGATGGACTGTGAAAGTAGGTACAATTTTGATTGTTGGTTTATTAATATCGAAATAAATTTTTAGTTATAAACTTTTCAATAACGACAGGCAGATTTTATTATGTATATTAAATTCAAAGGAAAAACTTTAAAATATGTCTCCTATTTGTATTTTTATACACATACTGCTAAATTTAATGTATATATAAATTTTCAAAAATTAACAATTTCAAATTAACCTGTGCCCAGCAGTTGGACGAATAATGGTCCGATGATGATTGAAATGAAACAAGTTCGGCTGTTTATTTCATAAACGTAACCAACATTTAATCGATAGTCGACACAATGTTTATCGACTGCAATCACTAGCTGTTTGCAAGTGGCCAACACTTGTGCGCAATGAAATTTCATTTTACTTCATCTTTAAAAAAAGACAGACTATAAATACTGCTGTGTAATAAGTCAATTAGGTTAGAGCCACTATACTTGGCAAGCAGCGATAAGTAATAGCTTATTATATGTTTTTTAGACTTGCAATAACCTGGACAGTGGTCAGAGCGTATGCTGCACAGCTTTGCAAGTGCTGCTGCGGGCGTTGCAGCGAAACCAGAGCACCACTGTGCTGCAGCACATGTTCGCCTCTGTACGCGCGCTCATACTTAAGGTAAATGTACATTGTGTATTGTTTTTTCGAAATTACTGTCCCAGTTCATATGTTAATTCCTTATATTGCAATTGATTTTACTATTATTATTCTTATCATCAGCATCCAAATCCTAAATTCACCCAATGAATATAATAGAAAACATTATGAAAATACTTTGGTATTTTTCTAAATAATAAATGGAAAAATAAAGACATTTTCTTTAAATAGATTTTTTTCAATATCTATTTTTTTATGACCCAACACTAACATTAGCCGGTTCGCATTTAATACCGAACTTATAAATAAGATATTTATCAACACACGCTTTAATCTAATATTCCATATCACACACCGGTTTGAACAATGTCACAAGTGAAAAATCATAATTTTTTTTTGGTTTTATGACGCAGAAAATTCCGTGTTTATATTTAAAAAAATAGCTACATTGCAGTTAGTCTGAAGTTAGTGACATTAAGTCACCTTTTGACATCGCTTTTTAGCTACCTGCTTTACAATTTTTGAGTTGTGTGTGTTTCTCTTGAGTTCACAAGTTCAGGGTGTAATATATGTGGGATAGTTATGGAGCTTCCAAATAAAATGCACAGTTTTATGACACTGATTCGCCTTTTATTAAATTTTTTTTAAAGTTGTATTTTATATCCTATCTAATCCTTTTCTCTCCACTAGCTTTCTCCCTTTCCCCCAGCTCCGTTCTCTCACTTTTACATTCCATACCCACCTGTACGTTGTCTTGAGTGGTAACGAGGCAATGTTTGCAGCTGGGCTGGTCGTGCTGCGGCGAGGAGTGGGGCATGTGCGTGGTGCTGCTGCGGCACTGCGCCGCCAACGCCAACGCCACGCGCGCGCACGCCTCGGCCACACTCTACGCGCTCATGCGGCAGCACTACCAGCTGGGCAACGTGAGTCATCATACCATAGAATAATAAATAAGATAGCCCGTCCAACTCCCGCCTACGTGGCGAGTCAATGCCTACACGAGCGTAGGGTTGTCATGTTATTATTTTAGTTGCACTTGCATACAGCTTGCAAAATATTTAATTTGAAAAAATAAAGTACCCGTCACTGTATTCCCGTGATATATTGAAATAATGTTTGTCAAAGGCAATACTGACGTACTGATGTTTTTATAAAGGTATCACGGATTGGTATATCGATTATGGAGTATGATTATGAAAGTTTACACGACTGGAATGTAATTTGTTGGAACCATGATACATACAGTTGTTACAAGTAAAGAATAGTATCACATGGACATGGGCAGGATATAGCAAATACATAAATATAAATTGCTATATTTAAGTATGTAATGTTATTGGTGTTATAAATATAGGTTATTTATACATCGAGATCATATTGTTAGAGATTACTATCCTGCATAAATTCTAAGACTGAATAATGTACTTTTTTACAGGAAATGTTTTTAGTTTGGAAGTGAATAAATTGTTTTTTGTTATATTTTTTATATTGTTGGACATTTTGTTGTAAGTTTGAATGGATTTGTAATATGGACCTTTTTTATAGATTTCTAACATCGGTTTTGGGAGGATTAGTTTGCCTTTGCGACGTGCAGTTTTGTTGAATTCAAACTGATTAAGATTATTTCTTGCAAATGTGACGATTTCTTGAAAAAAGTTCTCTAAGGTGCACATATACAATTATTATGATACATATATAAGACAACTAATAGTAAACAACATAATATGAACAGCCTATTATACATCCCAGTGCTGGATACGGATTGTTTTTTAATAAAAGAGCTTTAAACTGCATAAGTTGGAGGCACTGCCACTGCGCCCGTCACCCTGAGACATAAGTTGATAACTTGTGAAAAGTGGGAAATAAAATAATGATGAAAATGTGTTTCACACACCTTATAGTTATAGAACTATATCGTCACTAAACTTTCTCAAACTTGTATTTTAAAGCGCAAAGTTACAAAAAATGGATTGTACATAGGGCGCACTTTAAATTTCCGGAACTGGCCACTTACATAAACAATATTTAAAATGTAATTACGACATTTGAAAATGGAACTCTTTGGCTGTAGAATACAGTTTGTTTCATCTGACTGTCACTTGTTTTTACATTGTGGCGTCTTTTTAGAAATTGGTTGTCTACATCACCGTGGATTTAACTCGTGAAAATTTTCGTAGTATTTTTTTCTACGACTGTAAGTGTAATTTAACAGCTCAGCGGAGCTTCGCTCGGCTTCAAACTGCATTTGGCGATGAAGCACTATGCAAGACGAGTATTTATAGCTGGTTTGGAGAATTCAAACGCGCTCGTGTGAATCTCAGTGACGAATTTCGTGATGGTCGCCCGTCCACTGCTGCGAACAACAAAAACATCGATGCTGTGCGCCGTATGATCAAAACAGACAGACATGTGACATATCATGAGATTCGGGCATCTTTAGGCATAGGCATGAGACAAATACAATCAATACTACACAAACATTTGGGTGTGAAAAAGCAGTGCTCTCGGTAGATCCCACACAATTTGGCCGAGGCTCAAAAAACGGATCGCATCACTTGGTGCAATGCCATGCTTACCAGATTCAACGAAGGGGCGTCTAATTTGTTTCAAATTCGTGGAGAATAGTTGTACCGTGAATAGTGATTGGTGCCCGACCATTTGTTTGCCGGAAGTTATTGACAAACTCCGTAAAAATAACCATAAACGCCGAATCATCTTGCACCACGATAATGCCAGTTCTCACACGGCCAGACAGATAAATGAATTTTTGAAGGTGAACAACGTTGACATTATGAGCCATCCCGCGTACAGTCCCGCCCTGGCACCTTGTGACTTTTATTTATTTCAAAAATTAAAAACCAGCTACGCGGTCAACGATTTCCATCACCTGAAGAGTATGAAAAATATGTTTTGCAGGCTGATTTCTCATCACATTTCCTTCACATTCACACACTGGCTTTTGCCTATTCTTAAAGTAATGTATCCAAATTAACACCCTTGATAAGAAATTTAAAATGAATACGAAGTTTTGCCATCTCCTGAATTGTCCCTCTGTATAAGATACGAGTTTGAGAAAGTAAAGCATCGATATACTACCTTGAAATATGACTACACCTCTCTGTATTTATGTATGTATATATTTATTTATTTATTTATTTATTTATTGGTTCAGCAACAGCTTAACAAACTTAACATTTTTAAATCTACATTTTATATTTATGTAAGACTAGTCTGTAAGCCAATTACAGCCGAACACAATACATCATTCACATAATCATATTAAAACATCATTTAAAAAAGAAAGAAAAACATTACCACAATTATTTATATGCAATTTAAAAAATATATTCTTTAAGATTTTATAGATAACAATTTGATAACAATTTGTAATTTTAGAGCACTGAAATTTAATTGTCAATATCTGATGAGTAGGCCGCTACTACTTTGTCTTTATGACGGGATAAACTGTCAAAATATATATCCAGGTTTATATATAGGTATATATATATATATACCCTGTATATATGTATATATATATATACATATATATATATGTATTTGATTTGTTATCTTTTCCCCTTAAATTTAAATGACTTTTCAAAAACTGCAGAACTTCAGCCGCGTAAAGATGCAAGTGACGATGTCGCTGTCGTCGCTTGTGGGCACGTCCACGACATTTAGCGAGGAGTCCTTACGCCGCGCACTCAAGACCATTCTCATGTACGCTGAGCACGACGCAGATCTACAGGATACTTCCTTCCCTGAACAGGTAAGAGGCTACATGTTTTGGTTATTTTAAGAACTGTTTAAAATATGAAATTACCTTAATAATATACCGATAGGTACCGTTATTATGGTTTCCTAAATCATTTTGGTTCCTTCCAAACACATATTTGTAGAGAAAAACATAAATCCTGAAATGGCCCTGACCCAGCATAAATACCGTCTGACCGTTGTAAGTCAGAACTGCGCTGGTTTTTCTACCAGTACTTATGATGAGCGATCGCATCCCAGTAAGCCATACCACAAATTATAATACACATTTAAAATTAGTAAAATCCTCGTGATTTTAAAATTTCAGGTAAAAGATCTCGTCTTCAATTTGCACATGATCCTATCTGATACGGTGAAGATGAAGGAGTTCCAAGAGGACCCTGAGATGCTGTTAGATCTCATGCATCGCATCGCGAGGGGATACCAGCATAGCCCCGACTTGCGGCTGACCTGGCTAAACAACATGGCGCAGAAGCATATGGAGGTTAGTATTGGCTTCACGCGTAAAGTTTGCCATATTACAGGCGTTACGGATCTTGAAGAGCATTACTGTAATAATCAGGTGTGGGAACAGACAGATTATAATTTAACAAAATCTTAAGTGGAGAATTTCTACCTCTGAAATCCCGGAAGGAATAATTATAAACGGCAATAAATTAAAACAAAATAATTGTATTTTTACTCTGTAGTAAAGTAATTGCTAAAAATATGGAACAAAATTTGTTGTCACTAAGGAGGCGATATGGATTGAAACCAGAGAACAATTAATACAGTAAAAGTGGGCGTAACACTTATACGTTAGGATCGTGTTATTTATCTCTCGCAAAACCTGTAAAATCGTAGGCAAATGCCTTCTTTTGCTGTTTTGAAGTGCAAAATGATAATCGTACCTATAACATTATTTGTGGTTTTGTGTCATATCATCTTTAAGTCTTATTTCAATAATGTAATCCTCGTAACGCTGCAATATGGTAAACTTTTTTCTTTGGAGAACGTTAATAAGCGTTAGTCGTTCGTCGTCTTTCAGTTAATGCTGCTAGATGGCGTCACGTTGAATGAAACTTAATATAAAATTGTAACGCCGTGTCTTTGATTGACAGTCCAGAATTTGTTACTTCTTTCTTTCTTTCTTTCAATATTTCATAGCGTTTAAATTTTTCGAGGCTTAAAGCACTTCCGTTGTTTTTTTTCTTCCGTGACCGCTGAAATTGGGAACTCAAGAGCAGTAACTTCAACACTGATGTAACTCAAAAATCGTAAACATCTTTTTAAATTAGAAACTGCTACCAATTATCAAAACTCAATTATTATTAATAATTGAGTTATTGCAATTCCTTTGTCTACTTTTATATTTCCTTCGAGGAAACGAGTTCTAACGAGAATCGCGAAAACGCAATAGTGAACCGTAGTGTACTCCGTTTAATTTAAAACCACGAGCAGAATTGTGTCACTCGGTCGCGTTGTTCGAGAAAAGCTCTGTAAACGCCTCGGCGGCGCCCGCAGCGGTCCAACCACGCCGAGGCCGGCATGTGCCTGGCGCACGGCGCGGCGCTGGTGGCCGAGCAGCTGGCGCTGGGCGGGCGCGGCGCGGCGCTGCTGGAGCGCGTCACGCGCAACGCGCTGGACGAGAGCTGCGCCGACGCGCTGCACCACCACCTCACGCGCAAGGAGCTGCAGGTGCCCGACCTCCCCACTTTGCGCGCAGGGCCATTCGTGCAATGCTAACCTCGCCTTACCCGTTTCCGCCAGCTTGTGTCTGGCTGACGGACACGGTGGCAGTGCCCCTCGTTGCGATTTGAAGCTCTGAGTGGCACTGTGACAGTTGCGCAGTGTGCAAGCTGCGAACGCTCTTATCGAGTGAAATCAAGTTATAAATTAATTTATCAATATCAAGAGATGTGCTATTTAAACTTTCTTTATATTTAACTGCTTTTGGTACTTTGATAAATGAATTTCATTCCAGTTGACGCGCGGGAGTCTTATGAATCAGCACGCGGACTGAAAGCGTTGCTATACATATTGTTACTTCCTACCAAATACAAATCTAGAAAGTGTCAGATAATACGGGAAAAACTTAAAAGTTGATTATTGATAAATTTATTACGTTTTTGAAACGGCGAGGAACAAAAATTGTTGTTTATGATGTTAATAATACAATCCTATAAGGTGGTTAGTATTTCACAAAAATCCCTGTATGCACACACATTTTAACAGCAGTAAAAAAAGCACTGGCACATTTAGAGGAAATTACTAAAAACCACCACACGAATGTACTTTTACCAGAGTCTGACTAGTGATGTCGCTATATTTATTGCAATATTCATTTTTTATTCGATACCATGATATTTTTACCACCTTAATGTTTACATATAGTCTCATCCGACCTACAGGCGTTGTTAGAGCACGCGGCAAGCGAGCTAATGACTGCCGGCATGTACGAGACGGTGAACGAGGTGTACAAAGTGCTGATTCCTATCGTCGAAGAACACAGGGACTATAAAAAGCTGGCTAACATACACAGGTGAGTCGGCGAACTAATTTTCCTTCATGACAGACTCTTTAGTAGCAGTATAGTTCCTTGTGAAAGAGTTCGTCCGGGGAAGTACCTACCTTATCTATTTCTGCCGTCAAGCAGTAATGTAAGCATTACTGTGTTCCGGTTTTGAGGTTAAGAAGGGTGCTGGTGAAATTACAGGGACATGGGACTCGTCAACTTATGTCTCAGAACGACCGGCGCAGTGGCAGTACCCCTCAGATCTTTGCTATTTAAAGAGCTGAGAGGTAATAAATACATCTGTTATGGACACGTTCCACACGTTGTTGTTCGTCCCTTCCCTTGAAAAAAAATCTACCATAGCTGTCGAGCTGCACCTTTTACTGCATATGTGCTGCCATTGAAAATATTTTATAGCAATAGCGTCCTGGGAAGTACTGCCACCATATTTATACAAATTTTAATTAAGATTTTGTGCAATAGCTTTGCTAGAGAAGATATATAGCGTTACATAGAAGATTTAACGACTATTTTTAAACTTGTTTATAGTTTATTTTATGTACATTTAGACATGTGTAGGATCCTGTAAAGGAAAACATATTATTTAACACTTATGACAACGAAATTTAAAAAAAACGAAAATCACCCCTTGCAGATAAATCGTCGTTTCGCATTAAGCCCACTCATTCCTTCCAACCATTCACTCCTCGAAACCTCTTCCAGACATTCTATCCGCTCGCTTAAATCTACCTTTCGTTCACAATGTTACATTCATTACCTCATATATTATATTATTAATAATAATACAGTGCTTATGTCTACAACTACAACCACCAACCAGGTAATTTTCTGTACTTTGGATACCGTAGTGACGGAATTGACTCCAGGATACTGCCAAAAATATCAAGACCAGAACCAAATTAAAAAAGGTCGTTTACCAATTTAGTCCAACTTGGAATCGAAAACAATAATAATACAAAGATCGAACATTTAGAAAAAAATCCTTCAATCCGGCTGGATTCGAACCAATGTTTTCTAGCAAACCGTGCTAGACGCTATGCCAACTAACTCACGGAACGAACCAACGGACCTTACAAATTTTTCTATGTGCTAGCAGTCTTTGTTTTGATATTTTAACGACTTTTTTGCCATAGCAATCTTTGAGAAATCTATTTCTACACTCAGACTGGTACCTTTTCAGTTACCAGCAGCTGACTAGAGATGTCGCTTTAAGAATTGTAATTTAATTTATGAATGTTTGGATCTGAATGGCAGGATGTTTCGTCACCATAAGAATCTTTTTTTTTTGTAAAATTAATTACTCCACTGTACTCTAGCCAAATTTGATGTATAATAAATGTCAACGAACAAAAACATGATTTTTAGGGTTTTCATCTCAGACTCTTTCACAGTTATCACAATTAAAATATTTTCCTGCGAAATTCAACTAGATTATGGATAATACTAAATCTTTAAGCCATGTTTATAATAAATATTATTCAACAGACGTTTCAAATCACCTAAAAATTACATAAAAATAATAAATTTAAATTTAAATAGTAAAATTATTTGTAAAACTGTATCATTCCTAGTGACTTTTTATTTGAATTGAAATTAATCTCTCCCGATTGCAAACATTCGAGTTCTGGTGGTAATTCAAGTTCGGAATCGGAAATAGATTCTCGATGATATAATATGTAGTAAATTAATATCACGTAAAATCTTATAGTTTGTATCTTTTTATCTACCATTACCTACTATTAGCAGTAAATATTAAAGGATGCAAAAACCTATGTTTATTCCTAAATCATACAAATCGGTAGGTATTTTGTAAACTTTATAATAATTGGCTAGGTAAGTATCACTTCTACATAATCCAATTACCTACTTACCTATTTCAATTCCAATTACGAGAGCAGACCCTGGGCAGAGCAAGTCTTAATAAAGAGCATTGAAAAAAAAATGTTCTTTTCCTATGCCATCATTGGTTGCCTAGCAACGTTTTGTTATTAAACATTCTACATCTAATTTGGCTAGAGTATAGTTTGTTATAATTGTTAATAATATAATTTCAGTGGAGTCTCAATGAAAATACAAGACCAGTGGTTTCAAACTAGTGAAGTTGAGGCCCTGCAATGTAGTCACCCATTTTGGTCACACACCAATATCAACATTGATTTCCAGCAAACTAAACGAAGCGTTCACCCGCATTGACCAATTGCACGGCAAGCGTGTGTTCGGCACGTACTTCCGCGTGTCCTTCTACGGAGCACGCTTCGGCGACCTTGACGGGGAGGAGTTTGTTTACAAGGAGCACGCTCTTACTAAGTTACCCGAGATCTTTAGCCGGCTTGAAGTAAGTAAACAATATGTTTTAATAGTAATTTAGATGCAGTTTTATTAGCCTCCTAAAACTAAGCAAACTACAATGAGGAAGACTAAGCGCGTAGAAGTAGTTTTTATAGCTGTAGAACTTCTTGTGAAAGTGTTTTTGCCTACCTATTTTTGCCGGCAAGCAATAATGTGACTCAGTGCTATGTTTCAGTTTTGAAGGGTAAGGGTTATTCAAATATTGACCATGAACTCTTGAAGTTTGACAAATATGCGTATCAGATGGCATTATGTGTTACAAACTAATATATACATGGTTGATAGATGGCGATAATCCTAAATAAAACAAAAGAATGGCCGACGGTATCTTCAAATGCCTGTGAATTAAGCGCCATCTAGTTGATTCGTTTGTTATCAATAGAAATTAGAGTCGCTACACCTGGTTTCAGCGTCCTGATTTTGATTCAAATTGGAATCGATCAGATAGGGTAGTCTCGAAATCAGATGGGTTTATGAGCGAGAATATGAACCTGATTCTTACTATGTCTTTCTAACTTGTGAGTTAAATCAACTATTGTTCCGATTTGAAATGTCAAAAGTTTCCGATCGGCCAGTTGTGAATCGCAATAATGCACCTCGACTCGGAAAAGACGCAGCTTCCGTTCGGGAGAGGCAATCAAAATCAAGCTGCTGAATAGTAGTTTTCAGAACAGTAATAGAAGGCACAAAGCACAAGTTAACAGCGGAGCCCTCATTAAGCTCAAGGCCTGTAAAATAATAGACAACTTATTTTCACTGTTACATGAGCCAATTATTACAAACACATATTAGTTACAGAATGAAATTCAATTTGAAACCTTATTAAGTTACAAAACATTATTATTTTGTAAAACATTTAAAATTTTATTGAATTGATGTTCAATTATTTTTGTGTGAAATTATTCCACTAGTTTTTGTTATAATTATTAATACAAAGATCGAAAACTCAGAAAAAATTCCTTCGATCCGGCCGGATTCGAACCGACGTCCTCTAGCATACGGTTCCAAAGGCTTATACCAACTAAGCCACGGAACGAACCAGCAGACGTCACTAATTATTCTATGTGCTTGCGTCGTATCTTTATTTGGTTTTTCAACGACTTTTTAGCCGTAGCGCCATCTATGAGAAATCTGTGATATTTCGTCACCCAGTTAGATACTTTTACAGCTACCAGCCCCGGCTAGAGATGTCGCTATTCATTGTAAAACATTATTAAATTATTAGATCATTAGAAACATTATTAAGTTACTGTAACATTACCATTAGATACTAAATACCCACTACGGTCTCTTGTATCATGATAAGCAGTCCTCTTAATTTATGGGTCTATGCTATGTACGATTTCGTGAAAAGATATTGATTTCAAATATTATTCCACAGAATTTCTATAGCCAACGTTTCGGTCCCGAGAACGTAGTGATAATAAAGGACTCGAATATCGTTGACCTAAACACGCTCGATCCGGACAAGGCGTACATACAGATCACGTACGTCGAGCCCTACTTCGAGGCCTACGAGCTGCGCAAGCGCGTCACGCATTACGAGAGGAACTTTAATATTAGTGAGTGTTTACATATACAAGGTTATTTTTAAATTGCTAAAAACCTCGTAAGACTATGTTACTAACATCATAAACAACAATTTTAGTTCCATGAGTTTTAATAAATCGTCACAAGTTTACTTTTGCACAAAAATCATAATCATTTAATCATTGCATCACATGGGTAATGTACAGAACTTCTTAAATTAATATAGAGTCCAGGCGTGTAACCCTGTAGGGCAACGCAATTTATCTTATACAAAAATTATAAAATTTAGATTCAGTTCACTTAAGTCTATAAAAATAAAATTGTACATTATATAAATTTGTGTTAAATTAATATCATAAAAGAAAATAATTGCAATAACAATAAATTTAAACTATAATAATAAATTTATGACAAAAATAACAATTAAAAAAATGTCATTAATATTAATCACATATACCTGCAGCCTATGGGTCAACTACACTCAGAAAGCTATCAACTCTCTGAGAGTTATATATAACAATATATTCCGGATGTTGTTGCGGCTGCCGCGATTCTGTAGCGCGTCAGGAATGTTCACCGATGCTCATGTAGACGGATTTGCCGCCATAATGAGAAAAAGAGCGGGATCCTTGATGCGCAGAGTTCGTGGCAGCGGTAATAGCATTGTGGGTATTGTTGCTGGCAGGGTCCAGGGTTCATTTTTTGAACACTGGACTAAATTACATGTATGTCCTAAAGCCAGCACGTATTTATGAATTTTTATTTTCTAACACTAGTATGTAAGTTTTTGTTTGTTATACTAACCAATATGGATGAAATCTGAATTAAAGTATTTGAATTTGAATAATTATCTCAAAGGTTTCTAACGTTTATAATAATATTCATAATATGCCTTTGCTCTCGAAAAACTCTTTTGACTTGACCTATATTTGGCAATCAGTCGGTCAAGGTCGGTCCCATCGATGCGTTCGCGCCTCGTATTTTGTTCTAACTCGATACTCGAATTATAAGTACACGGAATCCGTGTGAATACTCGGTGTGGTGATGTGTTGAAAGTCTGCCGTGCATATGTACATGTTATGTCCAGTCTGCCCTAAGAGCTACAGGCAACTGATAAAAATCCAACAACTGCCGAACACGAGTCCGTGAAGTTCACCTGACCTGCCATTGCTGTCCTGCGCAGAACGCTTCATGTACGCGACGCCGTTCACGGCGGACGGGCGCGCGCACGGCGACATCGGCGAGCAGTGCAAGCGCAAGACCATCCTCACCACGGCGCACCATTTCCCCTACCTCAAGACGCGGATACAGGTACTGCCGCCGTCTTTTCTCATCATTACCAACTGACAGGACGAACAAGTCGTGCGCCTGATGGTAAGCGACACGTTTACCTACCTATAAGGTGATCGACTACGATATTCGACTCCTCCTACGTAAAGTATCATATGTCGAAATTGCCAAGTTTACAGGGGAGCGTTTTACAGTTCTACGTTTTATTCGGCAAACTCACATAGAGTGATCATCTAATAGATCATTCAACCGATATCTAAGATTTTATAATACTCTATGTGAGTAACGAGCTTTGCCGAATAAAACTAAGAAATGCTAAACTCGCGTGTTTTGCTTATTTCAGTGAATTCAGAACTTTAAAAGGCTCCCCTGTAAACATGGCAATTTCGACATACGATACTTTACGTAGGTGGGGTCGATATTTGAACGCGAGCCTAGATTTTAGGAGGTAAATGTCACGCAATCCGCAAGCTTAAGTTTGCTATAAATAAAATAAGAACAGGCGGAGAAAATTTCACAGAGATCCGACGTCGACAAGCCCCCGATGGAGACTGACGGGGCAGCGTCATTAAAGCGCTGGGCAATGTTCAAACTTTGGAATAAATGTGAATTTAGTAACTATAGGGCGAAAGTTAAAAACACCAAAATTTAGCAGGTTCTTTGTTTTACTTAAAGAGAAATATCTTCTATGAAAGTTATATGTAAAACTCGGATATTTTACTGAACTGTACTCAATGCTCAAGTCAGGATTTAAGCAGACTTGAGTATGATTTCAAGCTCTGGAAATACGACCCTAATGGCAAGGAGTTGAGTATGATTTCTAGTGCTTTGAATCATACTCAAGTCCTGACTGGAGTATTGAGCAGAGTTTTAGAATACGACCCTTAAAGTATTATTTTAACCAGTTTTCCGTTGTATATGGTCAGATAAAGTATCTCCTATCGTATAACAAATTAGCAGATACTTTAGACATTATCCTTAGGTGTATCGTATATTTTTTTATAAGAACGTTATTTAATAATAAATATCTAAACCATTTGATCTAGTAAAACAGTTCTTCCCGCTTCTCTTCCAGTGACGCGCCTAAATCGCAAAGAGTTGCCTTGACTTCTTTATCCAATGTAGATTATAAAAGACTTTACCTTAGCTGTTATCGAATATCAGTATGCCTGCCTATTCACTACTTATATTGCACATTTTCTGACGCGTATAAGTTTTGCAGGATTGATATATAGAAGATAGGTCGAATAGTACGTCTGTAGTGAGTCCAAGACTGGATCGACTAAGACTTTGTAACGATGGGGCACTAAAGGTATGGTCCCATAAAAAATACACCTTTTAATTTTTTCCTACTAAACTATTACATTTATGGCAAAATGTGATATGACAATATTTAATTAGGACAATAGGATTTCTCGATTAGAATTTTTTTATAGAGGCGTCGTGAAAAAAAATCCGATGTCCGCAATACCGCAGATCCGACCCACTGTGCGTTGCAAAGTTAAGATAAATATAGTGTACCTGCTTGTATCCAATTACGTCAATTTTTAATGTTCTTTAGTGATTTCCCGAATCAAGAAACGGTCCAGGATGTAAAAAATATTGTCGTAAAGCAGTCACCGTTTTCTGTCTATGTTCCTCGAAGTTTACGTAAAATTACTCTCTCTATCTATTCCGATTCTTGTTCATCACCATGATATTCAATTAAAGTAACACTTAGAAAATATTCAGTTCGATCCGTATGTATGTTTTGCAGATCTTTGTTTTTTTGTTTTTAACGCCTTTACTGTAGCACCATCTGTGAGAAATCTATGAAAGTTTTTTCTTCACTCAGGGAGATACATTTACAGCTACCAGCCGTTGACTAGAGTTGTCGCTTTAATAATTATAATTAAGTTTTATTGAATGTCAGGGTAAGCGATGGATGCACGTCGCGTCCGATCCGATCGGCTGGTCTGGAAGTCTTTGGAAGAGTCCTATGTTCAGCAGTGGACGTCTTCCGATCCGATCGGCTGATATGTTGATGATGAATGTCAGGATTTTTAACCTTTCCAGGTCGTGCAACGTACGCAAATTATCCTGACACCAATTGAAGTGGCTATCGAAGATATTCAAAAGAAGGTAATATAGACTTTAAATATTATAAATGTGTATTTACAAAGCGCAACACCTGGAGTTACTCGTTTTTCTTAGATAAATCTGCCTTACAAATGAGTAGTGCTTAATCGAATGTAGTTTACTTAATTAAGAACCAAAAATATATAATATGTATTTCATACCATAATGAAACGTGTCAATGATATTCACGTTTAAGCGAGTCAAAGCATTTGTACGGTGTATCTGTAATCTTATAATAGGATAATTTGGTTTGATATTGATAAGTAGATTTATTTGTTTGATAACTAATAATGATAAATTTTGATAGATTGATGATTTGAATGAGTACACTGCGCGATGGCTGATCGTGAACTTATTTAAATTACGACAATAAGGCGTAGATGGAGTGCATTGTTGGTCGTAGACCGTACAATGTTGCTTCCATGTCTTACATAGCTATCTTATAATTTAAATAGACCCAATATGACCCGATTACAGCGACCCATTAAACCAGATTCATCCCCTGGTTTGCCACCCTTGGAGGTGGAATATTTTCTTCGCATTTAAAAGGGAACAATACTGAGATACCATCTTTTAAAAAAAACGATTCACAAATAATAAATAAATGAATAAGTAATCTCGTAACATATACACAAATAATCGAATTGAGAATCACCTCGTTTTTTGAAGTCGGTTAAAAAATATGAAACGTACATAACATTTTTTTAAGCAAGCTAGTATGTAATAAAAATAACAATTGAAAATGTCTTTATTATCTTTCACAAAAGAAACTTATACTTACATGCCTATGGCCCTGACATTTTATTTCATTTGTGAAAGTCTGGTGTCCATACTTGTATTAATCTATGATATAGAGTACCATGCTCTCACTAGACAAAGCAAAATAAAAGCAAAAAGAATTTATAATTCCAAAAATTGTTTCTCAAGTTAGTGACGTAAGATATCATCGACTGCGCGTGCACAGGTGGCTGAATATCTATAAGTGCAGGTGTTGCATATCTTAAACGTGTGAAATACACGAGAGCGGGCGCGGGTCGGGCGGCTGTCGGGTCGGGTGCATGGCGGGTGGGGTGCATGGCGGGTGTAATTCCAAATATTTATATGGACGACGACACACCCCGCGCAGGCGCAAGCGCGGGTACTGGTCGGGTTAGAATTACACTCGTCGTACACCCGACCCGACACGCGCCCGACCTGCACCCACATCATAGTGGTTCGCGCTTTGTTGTCTAAATTATTTACATCCAAAGCGCCAGTTTATTTTATTTTGGCTTAAATATAACGTCGTTTAAACGCCTTATAAACTTAACTCGTAAGAATATCATACTTTTATTAATACGGTTCTAGATTAACGAGCTAGCAGCTGCAACCAGTCAAGAGCCAGCTGATCCCAAGATGCTGCAAATGGTGCTGCAGGGCTGCATTGGCACCACCGTCAATCAGGGACCACTCGAATTGGCACAGGTTAGATAATACTTTAAGAGGAACCGTGCCCAACAATGGGACATAGTTTCGTTGATACATAGGTACTAAACCTACTTACTACTAAACAGCACT